AAAAAAAAGAAAAAAAAAAAAAGAACTTCTTCTCCTCTTTTTAAAAAAAAAAACTTTTTTTTTTTTTCCTTTCTTTTTTCCCCCCCCCCCCCCCCCGCCTAATCATTCTTCATCATTCAGTTAGAACTGAAAAAGCTTCTTGGATCAGAAGCAAAACACTTTCAAGGGGAGAAAAAGACCCAAGAAAGTCTAGTTGACTTTTGGGAAAGACTTTTGGTCAACCATGACCTAGATGATCGAGAAACTCCACAGACATCAGCGAAAGAGGTTGGAAACCATCGGGCAGAGCAAAATCTCAACCCCTCCATGAAAGCGTTGGATGACTTTCGTTAAAAAAAATATATTTAATTTAACAATATTTAATTACTTCTGGAACAGTAAAGAGTATAATGGGCCAGAACACACAGTTGTAGTTGATTGGTTGGAGAAGGCAGGCTCCTATGGTATGATTGGTTGCTGGGTGAGAAGGGGGAGTTTCCCCTTTTCCCCGCCTTTTTCTTCTGTGTGCTCTGTATGCTCTTCTGCGATTTACCTGACAATTTACCTCAGGACACAGTGATGTGACTATCTTGTCTGCTGTAAATATAGATGTAAAATATAACTATTTATATGACACGACAAGTTCACTTCAGTGTCTCTGACTTCATTTGGACACCTGTTGTGCAATTCCCTGACAACTTCTTACCAATTCTCTATTGTCTGGCTCCCAAACAATTTCTCTCACCCCAGAAACTTCCAGAATGGAACATACAATCCATGACACACAACCCTTCTTCTTTCTGATAGACTCTATGTGACCATTTTTGCTAAATTGTTGAGGGTCATGACTTGGATAGCTGCCAAAGCAGCTGAGTGTGAAGATCCAACAATAGTCAATTCTGGTAGAGGGTTTGAAACCCATAGAATAACATCTGGTTACCCACATCTGGCAATTCCCAATAGAGAAGATAACTGGTACTCTTCTGGCAGCCAATATTGAAAACCTTGTGCCAGAAATAGTCTGGAAATGAAACTTTAATTGTAGGACACTCAGGAGTACTAAAAAAATAGAATGACCCTCTTGGCAAACCACAGATGGAAAGATCTGGTTCTTTTAAATGTGCTTAAACTTAAATATTCTCTTTCTGGTAGAGCTATGGCCTTGGAAGAATTGTATACTTTTACCAAGAAGGAGTAATTCCAGTTGCAAGCTAGGGCTAATCTTTGTTATAGCAGCAGCTAGAATTGCTGGGTCCCCCTGTTTATTTATTTATTATTTATTTACATCCAGTTTTTATTATTTTATTAAACCTTATTAAACAACTCAAGGTGGTGAGCATACTAGTATCCCTCCTCGTATTTTCCTTCACAACCATGAAGTGGATTGAGTTGAAAAAGAGCCCACAGCCACACAGCTGGTTTTCATGCCTCAGGTGGGACTAGAACTCACTCTCTCTTGGTGATTGCTTCAAAGTCACCCAGCTGGTTTTCATGTCTAAGGTGGAAACTAAAACTCACAGTCTCCTGGTGTCTCCTGACCCAAAGTCACCCAACTGGCTTTTATATTTAAGGCGAGACTAGAACTCCCAGTCTCCTGGTGATTAGCCCAAGGTCACCCAACCAGTTTTCGAGTCAGAACTCGAACTCATTGCCTCCCAATTTCTAGCCTGGTGCCTTAATCCAGAGATGGGGAACTATGGTCCCATTATGACTTGTGAACTTCAACTCCCAGAATTCCTGAGCCAGCTTGGGAATTCTGGGAATTGAAGTCCATAAATCATAAAGGGGCTATAGTTCCCCACGCCTGCCTTAATCCCTAGACTAAACGGGCTCTTATTAGCTGACCTCCTGCTACTCAGTTACGCCAGTAAATATAGATTCAGTAAAAAAAAATACTCCAGGTATCCTCCACAATTTTAGTCCAGAATTCCTGCTGCAAATACAGAATGCATGCCGAAGAATGTACCCAGAATGATCATCAAAACACAAGACTTGTGGCTCTCCTATTTCCTTTCTGATTGGCTGATCAGGTTTCCAAACACATCAACCTCCCTACAACTCAAAAATGATTAAGATTCCTGAACCAACAACTTACCGGATTAAGAGATCCCGCAGCAAAGGAAACTCACAGTGGGCTGAGTTTTCCACTGAAAGAGAGAAACACAGAAATGCATTTCGAAGATATGGGGATAAAAGAAGGGGGGAAATTCAACGGGAAAGCAATGACCAGGGGATTTCTGGGAGCGGGCCAGGCTCTCTGCACTGAAGAGAGACAATTGCATTGAAGTGCACGAATGGCCATAGTGCTCAGCTAAGACAAAAGCAGCATTTCAGCATCTAAATCAGGGGTCCCAACCCTTTGGGCACCAGGGACTAGTTCCATGGAGAGAGGTCTTTCTGTGTATCAGAGGAGGCATGATTTCACATGCTGCTTGTGTTAGGCTGCAGCCATCTTTTCTTTTGGATCTTTGGCCTGCCACACTTTCTTTTATTCTGCTATGCCTTTTTCTATTGTGGGAAAATGGGAGGGGAGATTGTACGGAGTTAGATGATATGTAGCCATAACAATATTCTTTCTAAAAGGCCAAGGTCATCCTTGGTCTCTGCACCTCTGCACCTGACCGGAATTGGATGGGTGGAAGCTGCCAGCATGGCAGTGGGAGATTGGACCATGGGATGGACTTATGGGTGTGGAGGCAAGATCTTAACCTTTCAACTGGGTGGGAAAAACAGGGAAGCTTTCAGATTCGGGTTTTCCCAGATGTGCCAACATGGCTCTCTTAATAAATTGGAACTTTGAGCAATACTTTGCCTTGGACTCTGATTAAATTTTGGAAGCTGTTTGGAACCCTGACAGCCTGCATCTTATGGATGGGGCTTCGCTTGCTTGCACAGCCCGGTTTCTGGCACCAATCCACGGACCAGGGGTTGGGACCTCTTATCTAAATCACAAATTATTAAATCAGAATAACAGCAAATGTGTAAAGGGGACATAGACTAAAAAGATCTAATGTTAAAAAAAGGAAAGAAAGAAAAAAGCCAAAAGTGATAAAGAAAGGAAAAGAAATAGAACAGAGAATGCAGGTAGTTCTCAATTCCCAACCCCAATTAAACCCAAAATTTCTGTTACTAGGCCAGACATCTGTTAAGCAATTTTTGCCCCACTTTATGACCTTCCTTGCCACAGTTGTTAAGTGAATCACTGCAGCTGTGAAATTAGTAACACGGTGGTTAAGTGAATCTGGCTTCCCCCATTGACTTTGCTGGTCAGAAGGTCGTAAAAGGAGATCACGAGACCCCAGGACACTGTGACCGTCAGAAACGTGAGTTGCTTGCCAAGCGGCCAATTTTGATCATGTGCCCATGAGGATGCTGCAGCGGTTGTTAAGTGTGAAAGTGTCATAACTCACTTTTCCAGTACCGTTGTAACTTCGGTCACTAAGCACAGTTGTAAGAAGAGGACTACCTTTAATAACAAATTTTTGAAGGATATAAGAGCTAACAAAATCTACTACAAAGAAAAGGAAAGAAAGAAAAGAAAGAAGACAAAAGTGAATGGGAAAAAAAGGATAAGAAATAGAATTATAGGACTAAAAAGGAACTTAGAGGTCTTCTAGTCCAACCCTCTGCCCAAGGCCTCAGATCTTATGCCATCCTGGTCAAATGATTGTCTAGTCTATTTGTGAAAACCTCCAGGGACAAAAGATTTTCAAAAATAGAAGCGACAGAAAGAAGGCACTTCCAATTTTCTTTGCAGCAATTATAAAGACAAAGCCAAAATGAGCTTCTACTCTACGCTTATAAAGACAGGCTCTTTTTTCCTTCCTGTCATTCATTTTTTTTCCTAATCAAAAGAATCATAAATCATGAATTCATTTTGTTCCTGTTACACTCAAAATGTCTACAAGGCATTTCTAATTGGCAATAAACATAGATATTTTCTCTCTCCTGTAATCAAGGGAGTCCATTTAACCATCTCAGCAAGTTCCTAAAACCATCAATGGTTTTTTTTAATGCAAACATTTCCCTGCTGTTTCTGTTATTTTGCGCCCTCCACCCTCTCCAAACACAGAGACATCATTTCTAGTTTGCCATTCAAAAAATATTATCTCCAGGGACTTCAGGAAGTGCATAACTTGGTCATCCAAGCAGAAGGATGATGAAGAACGGTTGCAGGAATGGACTACACTATGTTTAGTAGTTCTAGTCCAGCCCCCTGCTCCAGCAGGCGATCCTATACCATTTCAGACAAGTGACTGTCCAGTCTTTTCTTAAAAATCTCCAGTGATGGAGCACCACAATTTCTGGAGGAAAGCTATTCCACTGGTTAATTGTCCTCACTGTTAGGAACTTTCTCCTTAATTCCAGGTTGCTTCTCTCTTTGGTTAGTTTCCAACCATTGTTTCTTGTCCTGCCTTCGGGTGCTTTTGAGAATAATTTGGCCTCCTCTTCTTTGTGAGAGCCCCTGAAATACTGGAATACTATTATGTCACCCCTAATTCTTTTTCCCCCCCTTTAGACTAGCCAAATCCAAATCCAGCTGTTCTTCATATGTTTTAGTCTCCAGGCCTTTGATCCTCTTAGTTGCTCTTCTCTGAGCTTTTTCCAAAGTCTCAACATCTTTTTGTAATATGGTGACCAAAGTTGATTGCAGTATTCCAGGTGTGGTCTCACTAGGGTTTTAGAAAGTGGTCTTACTACATCACATGATCTTGATTCCATGCCTCTGTTTATACAACTAAGGATTGATTGTATAAGCACTTTTGGGACAATTATGACCTGGATGAAGGAGAATCTCCATAGATCCTTGAGATGAAAAAAACAGAGCGTGCACATTAATCCTTTGCACAAGACATGGCTGATTACAAATCTCAACCTCTTTTTTGTAGTATGGTGACCCAAATCGGCTGCAGTATTCCAGGTGTCGAAGAAGTTGAAGAGCGGAGAATTCATCCATCTGATCTTTCTTCCCGTTCAAATCACACCTTCCCTAAATTCACTCAACTGCACAAGTCCTCGTTTCTCTATCTATTTCTTCTGCTGAAATGTTCGGCTTGAGCCATTGGGTCAAATTTTGGAATTCACAGGCAACGATTTGAACGTCTCGTGTCTTGATGGGAAGAAGTCTCTGCTGAACGCTAGAGGGCACTGGATATCTAAATATTGCCTTGTCAATAAGTGGGAAAAAATGTAAAGCTACTGTAGTTTTAATCAATGGTCAGACTGCAGTTGTGATGCTTGTTGAAAAAGCCTATAGGGAGCTGCCCAATGCCAATCAATAAAAGCAATCCCCCCCCCCTGCTCTGTGAGTTGTTAAGTGAGTTTTTTTAACTTTTCTTGCCACTGTGATTAAGTGAATCACTGAAGATTTTAGTGGCTGTGTGAAAAACAATCATGAGTCACTTTTTCCAGTGCTGTTGCAATGGTCACTAAATGAATGGCTGTAAGTTGAGGACTGCCTGTACCTTCAGACATTCTAGAAAGTTTTGTCTGGTGTCACATACCAATGGTACATTGTTCTGTGTAGAATTCTAACAGTGTGGATCTTAGTCTTTTTCACCACGTGTTTTCCCATTGATCCATCGGTATATTATAAAGTTTTTAGCTCATTTCATCATCCATTTCTTAGGTCATTCTTCTTCCATTTCAAATTTCAGGAAAAGCTTAGACATTTTGGTAATTGCATGGCTTTGGATCATGTCCTGGTGGGAGAAGCCTCTCTCTCCTAGCCAAGGGTGTAACTAAGCCACTATCAGTGTAGGGCACAAAGCAGGAATAGAATAGAATAACAGAGTTGGAAGGGACCTTGGAGGTCTTCTAGTCCAACCCCCTGCTTAGGTAAGGAAACCCTACACCACTTCAGACAAATAGTTATCCAACCTCTTCTTAAAAACTTCCAGTGTTGGAGCATTTATAACTTCTGGAGGCAAGTTGTTCCACTGATTAATTGTTCTAACTGTCAGGAAATTTCTCCTCAGTTTTACGTTGCTTCTCTCCTTGATTAGTTTCCACCCATTGCTTCTTGTTCTGCCCTCAGGTAGCTTGGAGAATAGTTTGACACCCTCTTCTTTGTGGCAACCCCTGAGATATTGGAACACTGCTATCATGTCTCCTCTAGTCCTTCCTTTCATCAAACTAGACATACCCAGGTCCTGCAACCGTTCTTCATATGTTTTAGCCTCCAATCCCCTAATCCTCTTTGTTGCTCTTCTCTGCACTCTTTCTAGAGTCTCCATATCTTTTCTACATTGTGGCGACCAAAACTGAATGCAGTATTCCAAGTGTGGCCTTACCAGGGCCTTATAAAGTGGTATTAACACTTTACATGGTCTTGATTCTATCCCTCTGTTGATGCAGCTTAGGAAATTTCTCCTTAATTCCAGGTTGCTTCTCTCCTTGATTAGTTTCCACCCATTGCTTCTTGTCCTGCCTTCAGTTGCTTTGGAGAATGTAAATCATATTTGTCAAAAATGATAAAACAAGAAATATTCTAGCCACATGCCATTTTACCCTTAATCATATTTACAGAATGTCATCGTCA